ATATATATATATATATATATTATATCTATATCTATATCTATATCTATATATATATATATATATATATATATAATATATATATATGTATGTTTCTATATTTCTATATTTCTTTATTTCTATTTTTCTATTTTTCTATATATATGTGTGTGTGGGTGTATGGATACCTTAATACATTCAGATTTTTTTTTATTCCAAGAAATCTTTCCCGTTACCTGCATTCATCCTGAAAAAGTTTGGGACGCATTTGAGACTTCGCAAACTTGTCTATGATTAGTAGACTTATCGATAGGTGTTTGTGTGTGATAGCACTGTTAAATAGTGCCCGACCTTAAAAGCCAATATTTGAGATATCTGGACGTATACACTAGATTGTGCATGTGGTGTGAACATCCGTGTCGGAAGCTTAGAAGCATTGTCAATCCACAGTTGTATCTACAGATGGAACTTGCAAACAGTAGTACATACGTAGTTACAATCATGTACCCAGATTTTTCCACTCGGATAAACGGTATTCAAGTATTGTAATCTTGTCATGCATGCGCGCGCACATGTTAAATCACATCTATTCTGTCTCATATTAGTAAGGACATTGATGTAGATTAACTAGAAAGGGGGTAAGTTTGATTTAATACTTCCTACGCTATACACCGGTACATCTATCTAGATACCGATGTACCCATCTACCTATCTCTATCTTATATGTACACATGGCCTATGCTATGGTGTCCGTGCCGAACGGTCTCCTCAGTCACACACTTATGTATGTGCTTGGTACCAAATGCATAGATTCATATTCTCGTGTATGGAACTCTTGACAAAATCTAAGCGGATGTGAAGTTTCGACAAAGATAGAATAAATCTCCAACTTTCTCGGAATACGCAGAATGTTATGAAGATAGGCAGATAACATCTGTGCATAAGTACTAATTTATGTATATGTGTACTTAAATATGCATTTTGATCACATGCATGTTATATTATGAGCTCAGCTGAAGGTATTCATATGTATTCATACTAACTGCATATACTGTATTCGTGGATGGTAAGATTGTACGCTTGAAAGATGAAACTACACTGTGTCTGAATACAGAGAGCCAGGTCAACAAATTATTTCCTCTTTTATACATGGCTTTACCTAACTAACAACGTGGTGTGTATGTACTTATAATACATACATGAATGATAGTGTGTCCATCAGATTTAACTTCTACACATGGACAGCATTACTTTATTTTATTTTATGTCTGCACGTTCACCATCACTAGCGAGCGTGTACATATCAATAGAAAAGCATACATTTATCATGATTTTGTTAACTTAAACGTATTATAGGATATCCCTAAACCACACTTCTAAACTTGTAAAAATTTGAGTTCAATCCTTTGAATCTACGGGCACGCAGCTATATGGAACATATCACAAGAGATTTTGACGTGGTACTCACATATACGAATGTCGACTTGCGCGAGACTTCGAAGGGGCTGGAATTAGACATGCATGCAGTGGGCTTTGGAGCTGCTGTTAACGCTTTGGAGCATCTTTTCTTATCTCGACTAACCGTTTCCAAACAGTACTTGCGCATTTTTATTATTTTATTTTTGGATTATGAACGTGGAGGGGAGTAAGCATCACCGCCACACTAGAATTGATTGAACCACACGAACTATCAGAATGAACCACAAAAATCATCTCCCACCAGCGGGTCTGTACTATGTTGTCATGGTATTGTGCAGTAAGTAGGCACTTTCCCGACAGATGACTAGTCATCGTTGTAATCTGACCGAATAAATATGTCATTCTTGCTTTGTTCCGGAGGCGCCTGTGATTCCTTTTGTTTGACAGTAAGTGTAGCGATTGAAGTGTGTAGACGAAGTATGTTTGAAGACAAGTACGGTTCGCCGATGCTACAATTGGTAGCGTGATTACTTAACATGAAGCAGTAGCCAACGGATTGCAGCTGACTACACACTAATAGAGCCAATCACAATTCACATGTCAGACATTGAAAATAGCTTTACATATGCATGTGTACATAAATAGCACGACATGTTTGTATTTTTATCTTTTTTTAATGAAATTAAATGTCAAAGTTCAGGAATCATTCTGTCACTGCTGTTCTGCTCGTATTAACGCTTTGAAGGCTATCACCGCCGGAATGGTGTCGTTGTGTCTTACTCGTTCACCCCCATTGCAGCCGAATGCGTCACACCTGTGCTATGCCATCTGAATTGTACTTGTCCTTAGCGTGACTTTATTTCCTGTGCAATCGACGTTTGTCAAATTTGACGACAAAATCAGCAATAACCCTAATTCGTGAGGAATTCAGTGTCACCGGCATCGATATCGTGACGGCACAGGATACCACAGCGCAACACAGTTTGTGTGCCACTGGTGCTGTGTTCAATAGATTAACAGCCAGCCTCTGTAGACGTACGAGACCAACTGCTCGGTGGCTGTGGTGCGATAGAGCTGTAGCGTGATGGAGTTTGTGATCCGAGTCCATCTGAATAGAATTCAAGGACTCAGACATGATCGTTGCTCCCGTCTATTTCAACATCCCGTCAGTCACAATGTACTGACGAGTGAGAAAATCTTAGACATGCACCGGAATGTCCGTCTTGCGTTCTGAAGATATTCTCGCACTGCCAGGACAATACCGAGCGGTGCCAACTGCTCCAGCGCATATATATCCAATAGGTAACCCAGACTGCATATGCAGAATAAGCTCTGTGTACAAACAGATAGATCTATGGAACATAATCCAAATCACTAGGCGCAACGACCCCCCCCCCCAACAAAACTGCGGAGCCGGCTTCTAATACACGAACCCGCAAGTGGACCTACTAATCTTGCCAACATTCCCTATACTTCCAGCTCACCTGGCACCAATCTACAGAGCCAGCTCTACACACATGAGGCTACAAGCGTACCTAAGCTGTATCTACAAGGCCAGTTCTTCATTATCATCACCATTATGCATCGCTTGCTCGCCATCCATAAAGCCTTCGGCCCCGTTGTTGCTGCCTTCCTCCAGTACGTACATAAACGCATCGGGCTTCTTGAAGTCCCCAGCCTCAATGAAGGCAGTGTACTCCTTGAACCATATGCCCCACGCCGTTATTCCCTGTGTAGGTGACATGATACCATTGCTTTATAGAATACGTTCAGAAAGCTAGACAGCGATGGCAGTTCCAAACCGGTTGACATGAGTTATGCATCCTTAAAACAGACGAACAGATATGCACCTCGCACGTGAAAGTATTGATGGACTGAGTCTAAATTGGATGTACGGCGACAGCACAACATGCCCCGCCCAAGAGTGGTCTATGACTATGATATCATCGGAACACAAATACGGGTCCATAATTCGATACTTGCGCGAAAGCAGGTTCGATACAAATGATTCAATCAATCAAGATACTGGCTATTCGATACTTATCCGATCATGCGCACAACACAGAGACGCAAACGCCAGCGGGAGAACTTTCACAGGCAATACACCGGTGACCGTCGTTGTTGGACACGGCATTGTTATTGAAGGAGCCGACACGATACGGATTCGCTTCTGCGTGCAATACTGATAAGCAGAACTTACGTCTCTTAGAGATGTGGAGGGTCTGAAACCTAGGCGATTGTATGTGTGCTCTATATCAGCATACGTCAAGGCGACGTCTCCAGGTTGGATCGGCATCTCGTTTCTGCAGTAGAAAATATAATTGAGGTCGATTGAGGATCAAGTATTGTGATTTGAACTCGAGATGGATTAGATTTAAGGCTAACCGTGAACGTGTGTGAGAACGGCAAAACGTATTTGTAGTAGATATCGCCGTTATTGTGATCGATGGAAAAGCACTGATGTCTTGTCGATATGTAAAGTGTTTTTTAGACACCCCTGTGTGGCGGCGTAGGAGGGCGAAGATTTGTTCATTTTGGCGTATACAACAAAGTCGGTATAGGGAGACAAATACAACACCAGTTACCATCAGTACTATTGATAACTGTGCACAACCCGTCCTAAATCACCAGAACTCAGCACATTGCGCGTTCACCTCCACTAGGGGCTAATTTGTACCACATGGGTGTGCACACCACTGTGTGCTAGATAGTGGTGAACTGAATGGTATTGTGAGGCTATGCAAGCAAACGATGAATTGTTAGACCACGCTATTTTTTTACAGCTATTTCGGGTGCTCACTAATAGACAAACAGCTTCAAGTTACGAGGAATGTCCGAGCAACGAGCACTAAACAGAGTCTATGGCTTTCACACCGCATATAATGACAGAACAGCCACGTACCTACCATGGTTTAGTCGATATATCATACCAGCAGATGCCAAACTGTACACTTAACGTACACTGAACATCGATAGATAGACTTGGCAATACGGATAGGAATCACTATGCACAGTAGTTTGATAGTCTTACCTAACAGCTGGTACTCCCATAACCCGCTCGATTTCAGTGATAAGCTCGTTGACATACTCGGGGTGGCCTTTACCTAAATTAAATACCTACAGCGGAACGAGAGAAAAATTAGATGACGCTTGCATTTGTTTTGTTTATGGTCCTAGGAATTGCATATACCTATGTGATGCGCGTACACGTCGTTGACATACTCGGGGTGGCCTTTACCTAAATTAAATACCTACAGCGGAACGAGAGAAAAATTAGATGGCGCTTGCATTTGTTTTGTTTATGGTCCTAGGAATTACATATACCTATGTGATGCGCGTACACGTTTCTATACAGGCGTGTAGAATACGTGTTGGCTAATCGACATCCCCTGGTCTTTCAGGAAGCCTGGCACTTCACTCGGGAAATAGATGGACACCATGTCAATTTGTCAATGATACATATAGACACTTCCACTTATGTCCACAAACATGTATTACTGCAGATTTAACTATACGGAGGAAAATACCCGATCTAGAAGTGCCCACAGGTGCTAAATTCGCACATGTGCCATTGTAGACACACATTCATACCAGAACTAAGCGCCTTCACAAAGATACAAGCTCCAGTACACGCTGATGAATGAAGCCACAAGTTACGTATGGCAGAACCCAAATTTAGCAACCCTCGGAGCAAACCAAGTACTTGAGCATATACCATATACAGTAAAATATCTAATCCCAGATACGCAAAAGATATCAAACCCATGACAAACGGGATTCGAAACCTATCGCCCAATCTCACACACTCGCGCCCTTACTTCAAAGTCGCTGCCTTTGTTGATCGCCGCGATAATGCCGTCCACAATGTCGTCGATGTACGTGAAATCCCTCTGCAACACGCCGTGGCTGTACACATTGATCTTCTCACCGCGCAGCATTCTAACTGAAAAGTCGTACACGGCCATATCAGGTCTACCCCAGGGCCCATACACCGTGAAGAACCTGCGTGTGGATATGAGGGTGCCCACGACAAGGCATGCACGTTGGCTCTCGTTTAAAACCACTATAGGTACATGCATTGATCATTGATCTGTTTTTCATTGGTGCACACATTGATATGTTTTCCATTGGTGCGCACATTGATCTGTTTTCCATTGGTGCACACATTGATCTGTTTTTCATTGGTGCACACATTGATATACTTTTCGTTGGTGCACACGTTGATCTGTTTTTCATTGGTGCACACATTGATCTGTTCTTCATTGGTGCACACATTGATCTGTGATGCAGCTGAATTTCACTGTAAACGCGGTCGAGGGATCCGCCCCATATCCGCGCATGAAATAGCTGGGTTGCAGCGGTGTGGCCATGGTTTTTATGATTATACGATGCCTCAACACAGATGGGAAAAATATGGTAGTGGTTGAAGGCTCAGTAATGGCTGGATGTTGTATCGACAGGATGAAGTCTGTGCGTACACTGTACAGAGCCTGAACAGTGAAGAGAGTGCGGCAACAACCAACTATTCTGTGTACAATGGGAAGAAATCACACGAAGCAGCGCAGGTAGTATTCAGTCGCAGCACACAACACTGCCAGGAGAAGCTCGAATTCAGGTTTACGTACACTAAAAGGAATCTAGACGGTAGAGAAGTGTATAGATTTCATCGAATATAGAACTATACATACGACAACATCATCACAGCACATCAATACTCAGGGTTGTTGTGTCAACCCAGATTTGAGGTGTTCACTGTATTAGATTCGATGATTGAAACAAGATCACTCTATAATTTTGGCATCTAGCAGCACTCAATACAGACCTGGCTAAACAAACAACTCCAAGAATCACTCTCACTTTGTACTCTGAAGAGTAACCCTTATCTAGCATCACAGCTCTGCCCGGGAGTATAGATCTTACCTCAGCCCTGTCAGTGGAATCTTGTACAAATGGTGATACACTCGTGCGATGTCTTCATTGGACTTCTTCGTGGCCGCGTACAGACTGGATGGCGCATTGATTTTATCGAATACACTGAACGGAACTGTGTATGGGTTAGAGTGCGGACCTGAGTGTGCGGAAGGTTGTAGGTGACCGTGCGCATATGCACAGATGTATGTTTCAACGTGTTGGTATGTGGCCGATTTTTGACGATTACAGTAAAAGTAATAGAAAATCGATAGAGGTGACAACTTCCAAACTTGGAATGTCCTGGAAAACCCCCTTATTCTCGCTACATAGTGGAGTTAACTCAAAATATGTGATATATATCATACTAGAACCTGACGTATACGAATAGCGTGATTTGTACAGATATACCTGCAGGCACAGTCCCTCCTGGTATATATATATGAATTAACTACACTCTAATCTCCGACCCGCCGATGCACACTGGCACACGCACCTACATCGAAGTGATTGCGCCATCAGACGCAGCACGCGCTACATCCGTTACTAGTACTCACACACGCGCGCAAAAGGCCACAGCACAAGCCAAGAACGTACTCACCCTTTGTATTCCTTCCGTACACCGACGACGACGACGCAAAGACAACCTTGACTCCCGGATAGTTCCTGATGACTTCCAGCAGATTGGTGAAGCACTGTACGTTGGCCCTCACATAGGCCAGTGGGTTGATGAGTGAGTACCGCACCCCAGCCTGCGCAGCCAAGTGCGCTACGTGCGTGAATTTGTATTTCTTGAAGAGAGCTGCGCGTGGTAGACATTCGCATGAGTGTGGCGGAGGGGATTGTTAGGGCAAGGGCAATTGGTGATGGATCTTTGGCTAAGCTGCCGCATGTGCTTGCACGTGGGTGGGGGGTAATCCGTTGTCGGTGCTGCTGAGGTGCGGCGTGTGGCATTGTTGAGATACAGAAGGCACCAGAAACAGTAACCGTGTCACAAGAGAAGGTTGCAGGTGTGTGGCATCGCAGACATAGAGTGAAAATCTGGGATAATATCAATCCTAGTGCGCAATGCCGCGTGTGACAATTGCAGTCAATTTGTGGTGGTCGCAATAAAGCCAAATGTTTTCATAGTCATTTATGGTGAAGGAGCTTCAGTGTGTGATCTGAGCAAGCCCACCGCATACATTGTATGTCATGACTAGAGGCAGTTCTCATACTACTTATCACCTTCTAACTACAACAGGCGGACGGCAAAACATATATTTAGAAACACTCGCACAAAAATAAGCACGGATACACCGCAATGTCACATGCACCCGCAACAACGAGATATTCTTGTCACGCCTACGGTATGCATATCTGTCTCCCCTTAAACCACCCATTCCGTCACAAACGCCGCTCACATACCGTGTACTTTATCGCCGTCGCACACATCCACTAGGAACATAGGGATGTTCTGTTTGTGCAGCTCATACGCTCGGTCTCGTTTGAGGTGTATGTCATAATAGGCATCGAAGTTGTCGATACCAACTGCAATAAAATCACAGACAGTGGGGTGTGACGAAAGACATACTCGGTAAGTAAATTCGCCGCAGGCTTTAGTATGTCTGTTTGATGCAATTATTTACGTATGCTATCTCGACAAGAGAGCAGTCTCAGATACTTCGGTAAAACAGTAAAGAATAAACGTAAGAAAAATAACATACTTAGCGATGCAACAAAGATCAACGAGAAATTAATAGGTAATTTAGAGGAGTATCTCTGAGGAAATCATTGCACTGAAGCATATACCAGAAATTAAACAGCAGAGTACTCAGCCGAAAGTATTGTTCAGCGAATACAAACAAAGTTGCCTAAACGACACCAACCAGAATAGTGAGACTGAACAGTTCACGTGTACACGCTTCACAGATGACAGTGAATTTGCGAACACACTTAGATTCGACTGCATAAACATACCAACAAAGTGATTTCGCCTGTGCAATTGTAGCGCAAGGTGCATTCCGATAAAGCCGGCCGCCCCCGTCACTAGTATAATCTTTTTCTCATCATTTTCGTTCGCGTAATTGATCGGAGGCACATCATCCTTCGACCTGTAGTATGGCTGCACAGATTGCATGACGAAGGTGGAAGCGTGGGCGGATGGGTGCCGAGCGCAAGTATGTCAGCATCAATGGGGGATGAAAACAGCTACCCCACCAATATATCATTTCTAGATGCATCAACTGAAATGATTCTATGAATAAGCTTGAGTATATGCTTTGCTGCAAGTGAGAGTGAGAGAGTGCGTGTGCGTGCAGATTGGAGGGGCAGAACTAAAAATAGAATGACAACTGTGTACCTGCAGAAAGTCCGGGTTTTCGTCATTCGACGTTGAGGCCATGCGCACCTTCTCCGTAGGCGGCGGATTATTCATATGCTCAAAATGTGAATTAGAGGGATTGTATGTGACTTTCTCAGCACTCCTATCCACTGTGTACATGAGAAATACGTTAGCAAGGTTCGTTAGAGATAAAATCCCATGGCAGCGAAAAAAACCACACGGTTGTCGAAACTTCATATCTCCAATTTAGATTATTTCACACACACGTGAGCCCATTATTCAAGATTCGAACTTCATATTAGAAGTACCGGGCAACACCGAGCAAAGTAAAGCAGCGGATGGATGAAACACGATGTCGACTGAGAAACTGTTGTATGAGATGTGCTACCGCTACAAAATACAAATCCAACTAAAGACCTAAAGATAATCCATGTAGTTGCATTTAAGTTCATGACGATCAACATCGGATGTTTTATATTTGCGAATCCAAAATGGTCATCAGCAAGCTATGTTAAAGGACAGTCGACTAGAGTACGGTGCTAAAATAGCACGAACAAGGTTCAGTACATTAAAACAGACCTTCATCCCATGTACGACAAATATATACACACGGCACATGAGCGCAATTACTGGAAGCACGATGAACGTGCCTCCCAAACGATGACAAACGATGATATGTAAAACACAACTCAACAAAGCAGGGCTGTAATGCCCAACAGAACACGAAAGTGTCTTCGAAGACGTGCAAACTACAACACTTGACACTCCAGCATCAGGACAGAGTCACCGACAGTATATAGCACTCTCATAGCGGACACGTACGTGTCGACATAACACAACAAACATCCTTCTGGACACTGCATACAGCGAATCAAGTTCCATCATGTTAGATAATAAACATGGCCCGACGAGAACACATACGCAAAAGGTAGAGGATGCCGACTGTGAGGATGGCCAACACCAGATACCGATCGTGAGCTGAGGGTGAGGTGAGAAAAAACAAAGGGGAATAGATAACAGGGTTATTCTAGGAGTTGTGTGGCGATGCCTTGTCACCATGTTGCATTCATATGTATTCATGCGAATTGATTTTATACCTTCAACCGTATGCAAGCACATGCCAAAAATGCTGAGAGCCAACAAAGCAGAAGGGAAATGAACGGAAAAGGAAAGCAAATCAATACATAATTGTGTTGCCTGGAAGGTGTGGGCGTCATCCAAATGAGTGCTAAAGAGTACGGGCGATGCAGTCGTACTGTTTTGCGCTTCACAAATAAATGCAGGCAAACAGCTGGCACACGCCTGGACACAAGTACGTCCCGAATACGCTGTACACACTCACGCGAAGATATCCGTATCAGTATCTTCACACACAAACACATATGTCTATCAAACAAGACGGAAAAAAACCCCATACGTACTGCACTCACAAACAAGTAAATCTGCATGTATTAGTTAGACAGCAGTATGCTTCGAGCATTGATGGACAACAAAGTGCGTGTACATACGTAATCAGCAATCATGTCTAAACGTAAATATACAGCAACAATGATGCAAAGCCATGCTCTTTGGCAATATTGTGTTGCATACCCATGGTGCTGTATTATATCGTATCGCTGATGCTAATTCGAGCGCAGATCAGATAAGACTGTTTGAATTCTTCAAGACCCACGAATCTATAGAAGAGCCGGAAGTAAGAGCTTTGCCATTAAACAATGAACCAAAACTACACTGGCAACAGCGCGTATTGATTGAAAGTGAGAGTGTCTGAAAAACCGGTCGTATGTTTTACAGCTCGGAGGCGAATCTTTGGGAATATCTGAGTGTTGGACGACATTGCTCTATCACTCCACGTGTATTCGAATTTGCTATGAGAAATAACCTGATGTTGAAGTATACAAAAATAAAGAGGACAACATATGACATGTACAACATACATACGCTAGCAAAATTCAGTCAACATGTATGTGTACAAATATACTATATATACACAACCACACATTACGTTAACACACACACACACCAACTCGCACACACACATACACACACACACACACACGAATATATATACTAATATATAAACATGTATACAGAAATACAAACATACACACACACAATACATATCATACATTATATATATATATATATATGAATAGATATGTTTATGTATGTATGTAGCAGGTATATATGCATATGTATACGTATATTTGTATGTAGATATGTATGTATGTATGTATATATGTATGTATGTATGCAAGTATATACATATACCCATATATATATGTATATGTATATGTATATATATATATATATATATATA